TATATATATATGTGTGTGTGTGTATATATTTATAATGAATACTTATATTATATACTTATAATTATAATTAATACTTATATTATATATGTATATATATATATATATAAATTATAGTATATATTTATATATAAAGTATAGTTTATATATAGTTCATACGTAAACTATATAGTATATATAGTTTATATATATGGTTTACATATAGTATATATGGTTTATATATTTTTTATATTAATAAAATATATAATTTATATATAGTCTATATAATTTATGTAACATCCCAAATCAGGGTCAGTGACTAAATTGCAAATTTTGAAAACTAGGTGTTCGATTTCGAAACAAGTTAAAAGTTCAAGGACTTAAATAGGAATAATTTCTTATTGGATTAAATGGTAATTATGGAAAGTTTGAAGGTTATAATGGTAATTTCATAAGAAAGATTTTTATTCCTCCTTTATATAGAATATAACACGTGGAAAAGGGGGAAAAGGAAAGAAAAGTCTGAAAGATGGTTCAGATTGCTTCTTCTTCTTCCCGTGGCAAGGTGAGTTTCATATGAGTTGATTATTCCTTAATTTTATGATGGGTTTTGATTCTTTGGATAGTAAGAAAGCTTACGGAAGTCTAAAGATAAGTAAAAACTCAAAGATGAATATGTTAGGAGAGATAAAGTAAATAGAGTTTTTAAGCGAAATTTTGAATAAGAAGGTTTAAATGAATTTAGAAGTTGAATTTGACTTGTCATAAGTGTGAATAAGAAGTTATAAGTGTTAAAACTGAGTTTGGATTACATGAAAAAAATTAGTAAGATTCTTGGTTTTAAGAAATTGGTTGAGATATGAGAGATAATAAGATGTTGAAATGATAAAAGTTTGTTAAAGTGTTTATAGTTGAGTTTGGGAGTATAAAAAGGACTTTATATAATGAAGGTTAGTGAAGAGTTATGGAATTTTCGGGTGAAAAAAAAATATGTTCTGGGCAGGGTGTATCTGTACACTATGAATAGGTACCGATACACTAAGACCAATTTTGAAGAACAACTTCATAGTATATCGATACATTAAGGAGTGTACCGATACCTGTGAATTTCGAAGCTAATTTGGGTACCGATACACCCATAGTGTACTGATACCCTCCTAAAGGGAAAAATAAATTTTGGCTCATTAAATTAGCCTAAGTTATTAGCATCGAATTATAAGGTTTAGGCTTCTGATAATCGTCTTGAAAATTATATTTATGTAGATACAGAGCCTAAACGAGTTCTGAAACAATTGACAAGTAGGATCGGTCGAGGAAAAGATAAGAAATCAATATTGAATAGTGAGGACAGGTGAGTGCACATTATTTAGTATATGATGTTTAATGGGAAATAAGACTTGTGATAAGTCTATTTCCAATAGTAAAATGCATGAATTCATAAATAGAAGTATGTGTTTGTTATGATTTATATGTGTTCATGAGTATATGTGATAACATGTTACTGTGTATGTTACATGATTTGTACAAGTGTTTGTTAGTGTGATAAGTCATGTGAAATAGTAAAAATGATATATATGATGTTTATAGTTGATCATATGTGAATATGATATAAACCATGTGATATTGAATTATGTGACTATGTATAAATGATATAAGTTATATGATTTTAAGGTATGTGAATATATGAATATAGGAAAACATAAGAATAAGATATAAGCAATGTGATAAGAAATGTGAAATGACATAAAAAGTTGATACAAGCTATGCAAAAGTGATCTACGTGACTATAAGTAAATGTGATCCAAGTTATGTGACATAAGCTAAGTGATATGTGAAAGTGAACAACATGTTTATGTGAATATGTGAAATGAGATAAATGATAATGCCCATGTTATGTGTCATGAGAGCTAGGGGTATAGTTGGCATGCCAAGAGTCGAGGGTTCTACGCGGTCCTTCGGGACATATGTGTTCTATGTGGTCCTTCGGGACATAGTGGTCCTTCGGGACATAGTGGTCCTTCGGGACAAATTTCTACACACCCTTAGTGGGATTTATACAAGTTGTGGTGACAGCATTGTGCACAACCTCTATGTACTCACATACCTTAAGTTCTCAATAGTATACATGGGCTTTAAAGATAATAAAGAAATTGATATGATATTATGTGTGTTCCTTTGTGAAATGGCATTTGTGTTATATGATGTGCATAAATGATAAGTTGAGGATCATAAGATAATAAAAATGAAGATAATAATATAATTACATAGGTGTATTTGTTATATGAGATGATATATGTTTGTATATGATATGAGATTGGTAATGGTTCATGCATTTGTGTGATTTAGAGTTTACATTATCTGTTGATATGGTATAAAAGGAAATTAGTGATGATAAAATAAGTAATGATAAGTATGTTAATGATGGGATTAAGTATGTATATATGTATGATGTTATGTTACGTGATATGTGCATGTGTATATGTTACAGTGAAGAATATATGCTTTCGTATGATATGGTAGTATTAAATGTTCATGCATTGTAGAAGTTACATGTATATCATAATTTTATTTATGCCTCACTAATTCATCGACTTAGCGTGTGAGTGTTTCACACGTAGGTTATGGAAAACAAGAAGAGCAACTAAGAGGAGCAAAACAGGTGAGCATCTCCCTTACAAAGTTCAGATCAGAAAATCAAAGAGATGATTTAGTTGTATTTGGTTATTTTGAATATAGTTGGCATATACCAATTGATTGAGTTGAATACGTTCTGATATGTTTTGTAAACCAATTGATTTGATTAATGTAAAATATTCATTTTCTTGAAATGTGAATTTAAAATTTTAATCCATTTGTAAAGGAAAATGCTTTGAAAAGTCAATGTGACACCTCGGACTCGGATACGGGTTGGGGTGTTACAATTTATAATTATATAGTATATAAATACAAACTATACAATTTATATATAGTTCATATATAGTTTATATATAATTTATATAGTTTATTATTATATATATATATATATATATATATATATATATATATTTCATATGTAAACTATAAAATTTATAATAGTTTATAAATAGTATATATAGTTTATTTACTATTATGTATAAACTATATATAATTATATAAATCTAAACCATATGTACTCTATATATAAACTATATAGTTTATATATAGTTTATAATAATAAATTATATAATTTATACATAGTATATATATATATATATATATAAACTATGAACGATATATAGAACTATATATAAAGTATATAGGTGTACCAAACAAATATATAAAGTATATAGTTTATATTTATATATATATACTATGTATAAATTATATAGTTTATTAATAAAACTATATATAAACCATATAGTTTATGCTTATATACTACTATGTATAAACTATATATATTATGTATAACTATATAGTTATATATATATATATATATATATATATATATATATATATCTGTTTCAATTTTTTCTTAATTTTTGAAATGAATGTAATTTAGTTCATTTTACATATTTTCTTCACATTTTACAATTATTTCGATTTAATCTCTTTGTGTTGTTGAATTTATTTAAATTTTTATTTGTAATTTCATATGTATTCAATTTAGCCCTTAAAATTATATTTGCATATGAAATTGGCCCGTACTTATTACTTATTTATATTTTTGTAATTGGCCCATAACTTTTTAAATGGGTATACTTTAGTACTTTTTATATTAATTTCAACCTCACATTTTAAAATTATTTCGATTTTGTCCCTCATCAATGCGTGTTGTTTAATTTATTTAAATTTTACTTGTAAATTCATATTGGTTCAATTTAATCCTTTAAATTATATTTTTATCAAAATTGATCCATAATTATTTATATTTTTAGTAATTTACTCTAAATCATATACAAATTACAAATTGATCCATAATTATTTATATTTTTAGTAATTTACTCGACCTAAAGTAAATATATATCCGGTAAAGATCCAACCAGAATTTTATCTGTCAATGATGTGACCCGATCTGAACGAGATCTGACTAAAGTTCATCTAAACCTGAATTAACATGGTGTTTATTTGTTCCGAACCTGAACCTGAACCTTTTTTATCTGAATTGGCATCGATCCGAACTGAAATTAACCAGACCTGAACCTGAACTGAATCTGATATCAAATCAACCTAAAAATGACCCGAACTAATTTGACATGAACTCAACCTGATCCGAGTCCAACCACCAAAATGACCTGACACGACTGGTATCCAATTTCGACAAGATTCGACTGAAACATGAACGATTACATAATTTTCCATCCTATAAGGAACTATAAGGAAAATGGAGGAGTGAGAGTCAATTGTAACCCATTGTCGGCGGAGACTTTCCTTGTAGAGAAAATTCTTGTCTTTCGCTGCAACCAATAAATTGAATTTAACACCCCATTTTCTATCAACAAATTTTAATTTTATGCGTAATTATATTTTCGATTAATTGAAGAGAAAAAGAAATTTCATTTATAATAAATATTAAACTCATAATTTAAAAAAAATGTATCAACTAAGAGTTTTGATTATTTATTCCAGGGATTCTTCACAATTACACTCGTAGTTTTATAATTAATATTATGTGAATATAATATTCATGTAATTATATAATTACAATATATACTACTGAATAAAACAGACAACTAAGATATAATTATACTATGCTAGTCAAATATATCTAGAGAATTATAATTTATTTTAATTATATTTATTTATAATTATAATTTAACAATAAAAATCCTTCGTGTAACAAAATCACTTCTGTAACCAAATATTAATTATAGAACTACTGAAAATTATTAATAAATTTGTGAACCGGTTTTGCAAGTATTAAATTACAATTATATCATTATACTAACTTATAATTTTATAATTTGCAGAGAACCTTGCACGGAATTTTACCAAATTGGAGGGGCCACCATCTAGCCCAGATCTTCCTCTTATATGTTTCAATCAAACTAAAATTCCACCATTCATAGTTTTAAAACTTACAAATTCGACCAGTAAGGATTCATTGCAAATTGGCTGAACCAAAAGCAACTATTTTTCATGTTACACGAACCACAAACAACGATATCGTACTGGATTAGTGGTTTTTCAATGGCCCTGAAACACTAAAACCCTCCATCGTAGCTACAAATGAAACCTTCTGAAACAACATTCGAACCATACGAAATGTCCTTCCTCCTTGCAGTCAGCCATAACAGTGCCTTTTTTTTTCCTACAGCCCCGATACAGGCCTCCGTACATCATAACACTACATGAAAACACAGGAAGGGCAATGGTTGAACTATTTTACTTGTACGGGGCGAAAATGATGGATGAGTTATGCCCGCCAAACCCGAAAGAATTTGACAATGCTGCCTTAACATTCAATCTTTCTTTCTTTGGTCCCACGAGTACACTTGTGTCCTGAATAGATGTGTCGAAAAAATCGAACCGTGTCACCGGGAAACCGAGGGAAAAAAGAATTACATGCACGTATCAATAAGCAAAAACTGCTGCAAAGCACAAGTGAGAGAAAAGGAAAAAGAGAGAAGCAACATACCACTTCTTCATCCGGGTTTTCCAGGTTGATGTTTGGATGAACCCAACCAGTTCGTATCGCCTACATTAAGTAGACAAATCAATACCATGTTGACGTTTCCTACGTCCAACCTGACATTATGAAACTCAAAACTACAAACCTGTACTGCTGCAACAGCTTCCACGGCACCAGAAGCTCCCAATAGGTGACCAATCATCGACTTTGTAGAGTTCACTCTTAACTGCAAATGACGGAGATCTTATCAATATTCACAATGCAGAAGTTCGAGAAACCGACTACGCATTAAAATCCAGGCATTAGAGAAAACTATGTGAAATTACCTCGGGATTGTCACCAAAACAATGAAGAAGTGCTTGGTACTCTTTAATGTCTCCAGCTGGTGTTGATGTAGCATGAGCGTTGATATAGTTTACATCTCCTCTAGATACTCCAGCATGAGCCAAAGCCTTTTCGATGCAGAGAATGACACCGACACCTATTTTTAAATTTCACAAGACTGATATTAGTTCAATCTATGAGCAGCCAAATTAAGAGGACGAACTAAGTTACAAGGTCCATGTTTAGAAAATAAAACCGGGATTCAAGAAGGAAGAACTGCATTAATACAGGCGTGGCTCATTACCGTCGGGGTGAGGCTCAGTCATGTGATAAGCATCACAAGTGAAGCTTCCACCGAGGAATTCAGCATAGATAGTAGCACCTCTACTCTGCAAAACAGAAACCTAAACTCAGCAACTTTCCCTTATACAAAGCAAACTAAGCACAAACCTATGGCTTACAACATGGATTCGTAAGTTCAAAGACCGTGTACCTTGGCATGCTCCAATTCTTCTAAAAGCAGAACCCCAGCACCTTCCCCCATAACAAATCCATCACGACTCTGGAAAATTTAGTACCACTATCAAGGTAAATAACACGTATAAAAGAAACCAAGGAAATTCATGTGCATTTTAAGAGAAAATGCTCTATAAATATATACAGTAACTTTGTCAAAATACCACGTGCGCATGCATATCTTACTCTTACTCATACCTGAGTTGTGTCCCTAAAGAGTTGTGAAGACATGCCAAAAATTGTGGCATATCTCACCACTAAAAGATAAGAATATTGCTTCCTCGTTCGAATTGTTAGATTAGTTAACATTAGTTTCCACCAAGTTTTAATTAACACATTAACGGTTTATCAGTTTCACTGCTTTTGTTCTAGAACTTGGAGAAAAAAAAGCAACAACAAAAGGAAAAATTATAGCCATTAAGCTCAAGAGTTATCGAAACATTACAGCATCCCAAGGACGTGAAGCTTTGGTAGGATCGCTGTTCCTCTGAGAGAGCGCTTTACATGCCACAAATCCTCCCAAACCTAAACCACAAAATATGGTATTTCCTGTTATATCAAGTGGAAAAATTACAAAACAATGTCAAATAAGAAAGCGAGAACAAGATACCAATGGGTATAATTGCTGAATCCGATCCTCCACAAAGCATCATATCCTGCAATTTTCAAAAGCATCAGATAAAGTGCAATCGATTATACCATGATACGTCGGATGTTTTTCTTTGCTCAACTTACAGCTTCACCTCTGATGATGTGATTTGCTGCATTGAATATACAATAGTTGCTTGTAGCACATGCCGTGGAGATAGAATAATTAGGACCCATCCATCCCTGAAGAAGCCATAGAAGTATAAATTTAAAGCTCAAAAGTCCAAATTTCAATATACAACTTGATCTATCTTAGCATTGCGGAATCCAAAGTTAAGCTAACCAAATCCATTGCAAGCATCGCAGAACCCATATTTGTTGTAGCAAACGGTACACAAAAAGGGTTCATCTTCCTGTACGAGATCCTCAAAGCTTCAATTGCATCATTGAAAACCTGTTCAGTCCACAACAAAGAACTTAAACGAACCAGTAGATACACAAAGAAAACCATACTACAAAACAATCTCTTTCTTAGTCTTGATTTATGGTCACGAAGCCCCACGCTTCATGTTATGTGCCATGGTACTTTTCTTTAATCTTTCAAAACAATAAGCAGAACAACTTACCTTCATGCCACCCATTGCTGAACCAATCAAAACTCCACATTTCGCTTTATCTAACTCATTCATTACATCTTCAGTTACCCCACCATCTTGCAAGGCTTTCTTTCCTGCAGTAAGCGAATAAAGCATGAACTTGTCCATCCTCTTGGAAAGCTTTGGTGCGACCCATCCATCGGTTGAGAACGATTTGATCTCTCCAGCAATTCTCTGAAGACAAAACAGGAACACTAAGAACAAGAACTAGTACAAACAAGTGCAAGATGAGAGAGATAACAAACACAGCTTACAGTCGGAAACTCAGCACAATCAAAGGTCTCAATTTCACTTATACCACTGACACCCTCAAGCAGATTGTTATAGAAGACGTCAGGCTCGTGTCCAAGAGGAGTTACTACTCCCAACCCTGTCACGACAACTCGTCTTTGCTTAACAGGAGGCTTCTTCTTTGTTGCAATTTCTTTTGTGGGTTGCACAGCTATGGCCATGGCTTCTCCTAAGTTTTTAAACAAGTTAACCAGCACAACAACCGTAATTTAACTGGTAAGTTGAATGAGATTCTGTGATTGAAGAAATTTTATTTTCTCTATCACCGCCCATGATTCGATAACATACACACATAAACAATCTCATATGCATAGAAAACCCCCCAAAAAAATATCATGCAAAACAAACGTTTTCCTATTTTATATTAGAATGAGGCAGCAAACCCATGAAAATTGAAAACATTATTATAGGATTCTCATGAAGCCAAGACAATAAATTCTACCAACCTACACCAACTTCTTAGATATAAAGAATTAAGGCATGGAAGAGAGAGAAAAATCAATGATATTTATAGTAAAAAAAATGCGCATATACTATCTGTTTTTTTTTTTGTTGGTATTGAATTCATATTATCTGAGAAAATAATGATTTTCAAGGATCATAGGCTTGATAGGAACTTAAAATCAATTTTAGTTCAAACTAGTTTTGTTTGAAAACAAAAGGTTGTCTGAGTATCTCAGTAAGTTGTGATTAATCCCAGATTATGAAAGACAATTTATATCTCTCTGTTTTCATTCCCATGCTTGCTTTGAACCAATAAATTAAAGAAACGTGAGAGAAACCACAGTTCGCTAAAAAGGGTCAAATTCAACATAGAAAAAGATATTAAAGAAACGAAGAACAGTACAAAAAAGAAGCCAGATTCGAAAAGGCAGCAAAAAACAACGTTATGTTTCTCACTCGAGAAAACCAAGAAGCTGAAGTTTACCAGAACGAGCTGCTGCTCGATTGTATCTTCTTTGCTTGCGATTATTATTGAAGGAAACATTTCCGCTTCCAAAGAGAGAAGAAAATGTTCCATTTTGACCGAAAAAACTGCCATTTTTGGATGAATAGTACTCATTACAAGGCTCGAAAGCCAAGCAGGAAGCCATCAAGCCTTGAATGTTCGATCCACGAAACGAAGAAATCAAGCCCGCGTCTTTGTTAGTGGCTGAGCCGCCGCCGCCGCATTTAGAAAGTAAAGCCCTTCTTCTGTTACGAGCCCAACGGCCGAGTCTAATATTAGAAGAAGCCGAGCCTGATAACAATGGTGACCGTGCCTGGTCTTTCCCGTACGTTACCGAAACACAAGCCGCCACCAACCAAGTGCATAGCGGGTTTGCTAGTGATGAAGATGCCATCCCCAAATGAAAATAAAACTGGGAAACTATATGCAAAGGGAACAAAAAAGAGATCGTAAAGATTTGGGTTTGGATAAAGATGGATTATTTATGTGACGTTAGTAAAATTCTAGCAGCCCATCAATTGAAAAACAAACAAAGAGAAATTTTGAAGAAGAAGAAGAAAATGCGAGTTGCAACCGATATTTGGGGGAAAAAGCTTTGAATCTGCGCACCTCCGGTCGTTTCCTTTAAATGACTGCAGTGCCGAGTGATATTTTTTTCCTTCTCAATTTCTTTTTAAATTATAATTTTGTTTTTCTCCTTTGGTGTCGGAGTTTTGAGTTTCCTCCCGAATGAGAAAAGCAGAAACCGATCAAATAAAAATTAAAAACCGGAAGAAAACAACAAGGATCTGTGACCAGAAAAATTATTTTAAATTTCTCAGATGTAACTTTTTTTTAATGACAGAATTAGGGTTGGTCATTGTATTCAATTGGACTATATGTAAAAATAATAATAATTTTATATTCCATTTGTCTATTAAATAAAATAGGGTAAAGTATACTAAAAGTCATTACACTATATCAAAATTATTTTTTAGACTAGTGAATTAAATATTGCAATTACATTATTTGTCTAATTTGGTCTAGCTACTCAATGTTGTTCATATGTTTGAAAATGCTGACACAAATATATCTATATAAATAGACATGCATACACGTGTGCGCGGAGAAAGTGCTTCCCAATCTAATTGACTTGGTCCACTTGGAGCCTTAAAATCTTACCAAATCCTCGTCGATACTCCCGATGTTTCCTTTGTTTTTTCATTTGCAAAGCTATTTACTAAATTCACATAGTATAATTATTCATTTTTAATAACAAAATAATATATATATATATATACCCATTAATATATCATCATTAAATTCATTTATGTATTATTTTTATTTATATACTAATTTTATTTACATGTTATTTGGATATAATCATGAAGGGTCAAAATATCAAAACTTTAGGACATATTTGGGCTTTATTTAAACGCACATGAAAACTTCCTTTTAATTCTGCATTTACGTGTGTTAATTTTCTTTTGTCCCATTATTCCATTGGTGCTCAAAATAGTCTATTCAGTGGTCGAAAAGTGTAATTTGTAATACATTACAATTTAAAAAATATAAAAATAGGGATTTGAAACTTTTAAAAAATTACTGACCCACAAACAAATTCTTAGTGTATGCCCGCTTAAAGAAAATTCAGTAAAAAATTTTAATTTATATGTTTGAATTTTTTTATTTCGTAAGAAATAATCGTAATATAATAAATTTTGATATTTTATAATTTTATATTAATATAAAATATTTTAAAGGCTTTATTTAAAAATAGTACAATTTCAAATACAATACAAAAATAATCATAATATAATATTTTATTATATTATGCCTTTAGAATACTAAAAAGTTTACATTTATGGGACGAAAGCGTAACATTTTGATTGACATTATATGTACTTATCAAAGTTAGGAATGATCTTAAATTTTGTTCGATAAATAATTTATATAAAATTATTTATTTTACAAAATTATTATATACGACTGTGTTATTTTATTTAATATATATATTATTAATTGTGATGAATTGATATATTTAATTTTACTATAATTTTTTTTAAAAAATTGATCCATGTATTTATCTTTTAAGTCATCATGTGATGTAAATAAAAAATATAATGAAACTAAAGCCGTCGATGTCTACCATAGACTCTAATAATATCATAGTTAAGAAAGAATAAAATTAAATATTTAAAATTATTAATAATTATGAAAATTTTAATTATCTAAATTTATTAGTAATTATCAAGTAGTATATATTCTAAATAATTTTAACTATTTAACAATAAACGCTTAATCATCTTATTGCAGCCGCTCGTGTTCGAATCCGTTATATCTAAAAATAATAATAATTTTTTTAATCATTGAAATTAGTTGGCTCGTATAACATTTTAATCTTAAAATTGTATAAAAGGGGATTGATATTGTTTTAGAAACCTACAATTTTATCAAACTTATCCTCAACTGTCAACAATTTTATCAAAGTTATCTTTGTTCGTTGATAATTTTATCAATCATTTTATTTTCTTAAAATAATTTTTATATTCCTTGTTTCTCCGATTTTTTTAACGGTTTAGCATCATTATTTTTTTAATTTACCATCAAAATCAGTCAATTATATGTTTTTTATTCATGTCTAACTACCTGATGCCGTACGGAAAGTTTTATAGTACGACAATCTTAATATACGGTTAAGAGAAAATGTTATCGATTTTGTTATTATTTTTTTATAAAACCGATAAAAATTTACTTAAAACATTATTATTTTTACTTAAACATTAATATTTTTTAACATTTTCAGTAAAGTATCTGATAATAAAAAAACAGTAAAAAAATAACAAAATTGATAGCACTTTACCGAATATGTTAACAAAATCGATAAAAGACCCAATAATAATAAAATCGATAGAAATAATAATATTTCTAATAAAATTTTATCGATTATATTAAAAATAATAAAAAATTAATAACATATTACTTTAACAGTATATTAAGATTATAGCACGTTAGTACTCATAAACATTGTTCATGAATTGAAAACTAAAAAGAAAAGGTTATTCACAATATATATAATCTTAAATATGATAGACCGGTTTTTATATATGTACATGTACGACAAACATTTATTGCCTTTAAATTATGTTTTTTCTCATACACGTGGCAGCTAGGAAAATGAATGTAGAAAATGGGAAATTTTGGACCGCGCCCGATAATTTTATCATACGAAAAATCTAATTTAAAAATTTTAAAAATAATATAAAATACACACAATTAAAAATGTTATAAAAATATAATATTTTTTAGAATGGTTTTTTAAATTCTTTTCGTATTTTCTGTTAGATCAAAAATATTTAAAAATAATCCAACTGAAAATATTATATTTTTTATATATTTTCGATTTTATATATTCTCTGTTGTTCCTTAAAATCAGGTCGTGTTTATATAGATTCTTCATCTCGCACCAATTATTTAAGGGAGTGGTACTTTATTTTAACCAATAAGAGTTAGAAACCTGTTCAAAAACGTAATTAATTAAGATAGATTAAATTAATAATGATGATGACAGAAACGCAAGTTGCCATTTCATATATCATGTGTGTCGTGCTTATAGTTGCACAAATTCAACTACATTAATGTTAAATGGAACTAAAGTTAATAACTCTGCTACCAAAATAAACTAAATTTCAGTATTTTAATGCGCGAATCATGTAGGTTGTAAACTTAATCAACTTTTTTTCCCAAGGAAATTATAGTTTTAGTTGTTATTTAAAGTATGGTTTAAATATATATTTACTGCTTAAATTTTATATGTCGTTTTAATATTTTTATTAAAATAATTATCTTTTTTTTGCATGATAATATAAGATTAGATTACAATGATATCATCATTTATTTTTTAGAAGTCTTTAAAAATGTAAAAATAATAATATTTTAAATTAATCAACTAATCTTAATTAAAACCTTGAATATATTATTCATTATACAAAAAAAAATTGTTTATCTTTTTCAAGCCCAAACCCACTACATGTCCCTAAATTTTAGTACTCAAATTTCCAAACCCAGCAACCTACATATCATGGTCCATTCGTAAGGCTCAAACGAAAAAGATTCATTTAAAATATAATTAGCGGTTTTTTGGGCCCGTTACCGTGGCCTGCAAAATTATTTAGGGAAAAAGGGGTGTCAAGAAATTATTTTGGGATCTATGGTATTTTCGAGGTGACGAGTTCCGTGATATATTATTTTTGTATTGTAGCCCATTATTTTAATATTTCTTTTGAAACTCGTCATCTCGAGGTGACGAGTTCCATTAAAAAAATTATTATTTTTCTTCAGATTTTTTATATGAATTTAATTTTTTTTAAAACATTGAAACTCGTCACCTCATTAATTTTTTTTTCTTAAGATTCTTTAATTTGAATTGAAATTTTAAAAAATCGTAAAAACTCATCACCTTGAGGTGACAAAATGTATTTAGTTTCCCCCCCCCCCAAAATGTGATAGTTTTTGTTCAAAAGAACAACAAACCATGAACATTATATTAGACCATCAAAGATGAAATTTTGGAGATAACAATAACGGACCATTAGAAATGCACATTAAGAGGGAAAAAACAACAAAATTAATACATCACCTTAAGGACGTAAATATGACTAATCTTGTAAACATCATAAATATTAAATAAAATCATAAACATAACAATATTGATTAAGATGTTTTAATCTTCGTAATCAGTAGACTCGTCAGAAGTAATATTAAGTTCCTCAATTCTCTATTCTTTTTGTTGTTGTCGTTTACGTACAAATTGGAACCATGCTTCTGGGTCTCTATCATTTATGTTTGTTTCTTGGTCATTTGTCTGAGTTGGTGGGATATTTGAGTTGGAAGCAACATCCTCAATCGTACGAGAAAGGTCGAGATCAGTGAACTCTACAAACAAATCAACATTAGACAAAGAATGATAGAAGTATGTCTCAATCATGCCAGATAGTCTACATCATTGCTTAGATAAAACCTCGTGTATGATACTCACAATTTATAATGTAACGAAGATACTATTCTACTACTTACAAGTTGAACTCTTGTTTCTATACTGAACGTCAACTCATCTAGTTGAATATTTTTTTTCGAAACACATGATTAAAGATTTACAATCATAAAAAATAGTTGCACAAATAGTTTCCATGTTTGAAAAAAACTCAAGGTTTGGAAGTGAATGATTGAAGGTGTTTTAGTGTTTTTTTTTTTTGCTTCATTTCTCATAGTAAAATGACTTTCAACTTACACATATAATAGCTGCTGAAGATGATTAAATGAGCACTGAAAAGTTGTTTAAATGGTTCATTATTTTGCCTATGTGAAATACACATTTTTCTGATATGAAGTGATAATGCACCATAGAAAAGTTTTCTGATTTGAGTTGATATATCACTAAAAAGTTACCGAAGATGATAATACACCACTATTTCACTCATTTTCTAAAAAGTATCTTAAATTCTACATTAAATGGCCTCTAAAAAGTTGCATTATTGCTGCAATAAATGACATTTGAAAAGTTGCTAAAATGGTGCATTAATTT